AGCCCTCTGCCTGCTTATAAGACGAGTGAGTGTGGACTTTACCTCAATTATTGGTGGTGGAAACACTCCTGGTCGATTATGCGGTGGGAGGGCTTTGGGTATTTGTGGAGTTGATTCGGCCTTCACACAGTGAGGTTAATTTGTTTTGGGAAGAGAGAAAAATTGAGTTGGACCTATTGTGATCGCTCTAGCCACGCATATCAAAGGGTGCAAACACTGCAAAGTGAAAAACGTATCTTGCAACTCAGGCTCTTTGAGGTCTTGAACTGAGAGCTAATTCGGATAGATCTTCGCACATCTGCAAAATGTGGTCCCTAACAGCAGCGGTGATACGGGAGGCAGTGAGAGTGCCACCGGAGGTGATGGGAACACTATCAGCCTGTAGCCAGCAGAAGTCTGCTCCGAACCGCGGAGGAGGGAGGCAATGAGCGAACTTTGAATTGTAGCATTGAGATAGTTTTACCCATAAAGGATCGGGTGCGTGGTGAGAAACCCGTCTTGGCAGGTCAGACATCTTGAGACTTGTTGAGGAAGAAGTTTGGGCACAGATCTGAAGAGGCCGTGCTACTACGACGGTAGGCTACCATCTTCCACTAAATATAATGTATGTAATATTGAAGTTTCCCCTAAAAAGCTCGGTTTTCAGAACTTGGTGCCAAAATTTTGAACATAACATATTCAAATGTAACGCCCCTACGTTGTATTTGAACAGACAATAGTTATCATGAAATAGACCGTACTTTATTTTTGAAGAGGCACTACAGCCTTGTTCTTTTCTTTTGTTGAAATTATTATGTATACCTGCAATCAGACTCGCCTTCTCTCACTTCGCATGCATGCAAACAGATGGCAAAGCACATTGGTGCCAGGCGCCCACACAAAGCTCAGAGATATTCAAGCCGAGAACACAGTTCGGATACAAACTTGCTTCAATTGGCTATGGCGCCCAGGCACCCACACTTCATTTCCCAACTCTGTATTCACGGCAACTGTTCACACGCACTCAACTCTGGATCTCCCTGGATATCCCATGCACACACAGTCTGTATCACACACGCACACACTCACTCTCACTACCACCTATCGCTAGCTATGGCAGCTGTGGCCGCCGGCTACAGCTAACTACAAGCAGCGATGGCTGCTCTAACTCCGCCTCAGCCCACTTCGACTTCGGGCATCTGCAGACCACCTTGCACAAGACGCTAGGGCAGCGCTTCCGCATGGCTCACGCAGGAATGAATGAATGGCTGGATGCTGGCTCTTGATTTATACTTTCTGTGAGTCGCTGGTCTGCCCCTTTCCACAGGGCCCATGGTGCTCACAGTCCCACATGGTACTTGCTGACTAGACAAAGTGAGACTGGGACTGGGCACCACTGACTAAGCAAAGTTGGACTACCCACTTGTCCACTTGCCTCTGGTCTAACGTGAGGAAAAACTCGAAAGGCCACTTCCGGACCTTCCGGAAGTCTGTGGACTTGGCCTTTCGGAACTGTAGCAGCTACGACCTTGACCTTTCAGGACTGCAGCAGCTACGACTTGACCTTTCAGAGTTGCAACTACTATGACCCCTATACAGGCAGGACCCCTACTTCGACAGGTCTACAGTTCAAGACCCGACAGCTACACAGACCTACGACAGCCTACATTCAGCTACCAAAACACAGGTCGCGGGTGCAAAACACACGGGGTCGACTTAATACTGTACACGGGTGAGGTAAGGTCTAGGGATCGAACCCTGGGATCTACATCTATCACTGCAAAGGTGAAAACCGTTTCAATACCACAATGTAACCGCTTAATAGTGCAGCGCGTGTATGTATTGAGAGGCACAGTGGAGGTGGAGTTCAAAGAAGAATGAGAAATTTAATGGTTTCAATCTGCCCTTGTTTTTTCTTTTTATTTTTATTTTTGCATGTTATCACTGTGCCCGTTTTTTGCTTTTATTCTTTGTTCCGCAAAGTGCGCTCTTTTAGTTTGTAGTGATGTGACAATATATATATACAGCCCCTCGTTTGTTGTCCTCTTCTCCCTCTCTGCCTACGGTTTACCGGGCAGTTCTATTTGACGATATATATATATATATATATATATCGTCACAAACAGATATATATATATATATATCGTCATATATATCGTCATATATATATATATATCACCAGACTCATCAGCAGGCTGAACCCTTTACAGAATGAAGACTGGTCTAACCCATGACACTGTTAAGTGATAATCCACCTTAACCCCGCCAATTATTTTAGGGTGGATCTTGGAGAAAGTACTCATATCCCGAATATAGCCATCTCTCTCTCTCTCTCTCTCTCTCTCTCTCTCTCTCTCTCTCTCTCTCTCTCTCTCTCTCTCTCTCTCTCTCTCTTACTTTGGGGTACACGGGGAATTCTGGAGATTTTAAGAGCGTGAACCACACCTAAATTGGGGAAACGTTAGCTCCTTCAACCGAATGAGTGCCAAGTATGCAAAGATGCGATACATGGGAATGTCGCTCCTTTGTAGGTACCCCGCTTGTGTATGGTATAGACTGTTGATGAGTGTGCTTATCAGCTGCTTGTAGCGGACACATCCATATAGCACCTGAAGACCACGCCAATCAAGACGAGAGGAATTTTTCATAGTGAGTTCGCAAAACTTCATTCTTGATACAACGAGTACCAGGAATTCCTATTCTGAAGTAAGCTGAAATAAATCATAGCATTGAAGAATGCCTCCAAGTCTGACGCAGGAATAGCTATGCTGGAGGAAGCTGAAATAAAACATAGCATATGCGTTGGTGTATCCTAGTCCGTTTTTGTCCGTAGATAGAGGTTTCGTTGAGGGCAGTGACGTTGGGCGCTTCACTGTTGGGGGTTTGTTAGATTTCTTGCCCACTCTCACTGCCTGCATGCTTGTGTGTCTTGCTTCGTTGTCTGTAAAGATTCAGAATTTCGGGAAACAAAAAAAAAAAAAGTGGAGAATGACTCGTGATGGCACATAAAACTTGAACACCCATGAGCTACCTTCTCTCTCTCTCTCTCTCTCTCTCTCTCTCTCTCTCTCTCTCTCTCTCTCTCTCTCTCTCTCTCTCTCTCTTGCGCGCGCACGCGCGCAAGAAGTCTTTCTTTCCTCCTCTCTGAATGGACTCCCTTCCGGACTGCAGCATTTGTGAACCACCTCCACCTCCAGAGGATTCTCGTATTCGTAAGGATGGTCGACCTGGAGAGGCGGGCGTACATTCCACTCAGTTATGCTTATTGCAAGGAAAATGAGTGATTAGCGAAATGACAGAAATCCAGAAAGCAAATTCACATTGAAGGCCAGAAAGTCCAGTGCTGTCCAGAAAGCGGAAATGCACTGATGTTCTACCAACGGACAACCAAAACACTGAATCCGAAAGTCAATGAGAGCATACTCTCGTCCCCACCAACATATGTATCCAGAGTTGTTCCTCCTACTTGGCGCTCAGCGCCCAGACTACTACACAGCTACTAGAAGCCTACGAATTGACAATGCATCCCGTTGACGTCAGCAGCAGAACCGAAGTACATAAAAATGTCGACCCTTGAAGACCATCGCCAAGACCAGGTAAGGGCCCTCGCATCATCATCCTCATCTCTCTCTCTCTCTCTCTCTCCCTCGTCTTCACTACCCATGTCTTTCCTCTCATTCACAAAGACCACCACCACCTCCACTGGCTACCATCCAAGCCAAGCCCAGCTATGGGGGGCTGGCTATGGGAGGCTGACTATGGCGCTGCCCTCAGCAGTTCCCTGCTTACCGCACGACCGCACGTGTGCGCACACACTCGCCATGCACTAGCGCAGCATCCCCCGAGCACTAGCTCTAGCAGCGCTGCCACATCAACATGCAAGTGCCCAAATCCCCGACGCTGAGCCCTGCCCCTTTCCTATATCAAAAGTGGCAGGCACTTGCACTGCTTTCCCACGTGAGGCCGATTAGGGGCTGTCATTTTCTGCAAGTATGAATAACTGTTGGCAGGCTTGGGTCGTATGTTTTACGAATTGGAAGTAGTTTTTGGTTTAGATGAGGGCATTAATAGCTAGTTAAAATGCAACGGGCACTTGTACTGGCAGGTCGTCGAACCGGTAACCTTATTTTCTTGACAAATTAGGGGCTGTCATTTTTTGAAGGACTTGAACTCTGAATCGTTTAGCAGGTTTAGACCTTTCTAGATGGCATCCGATTTTCGGTATCAACTAGCGCAGATTAGTCTAGGTTCAGGATTAGGCCTTTTAGATGGTACTTGCCGATGTTTTTTCTGGTACTTGTTCTTCCTGGTTGACTTCGTATAAGTAGCTTAGTTGCGCTAGTATTTTTCATCCTGCGCGAGGTAGTTAGACCCCTGATGAAGCCGGACAGGCGACCGGCAGAAACACGGTGTTGGGTCATTCGCCTGTGCTCAATGTTTTATTTTTCGAATTTACCTGCGCTCGGTTTTTTCTTCATCTTCGTCTTGAGCGGTATGCCCCGTGCATGCTGCTTCTCTGTGTGTTTAAACACGTGTGTTTGGATGCATGACTGATGTTCACGACATTAGTCCACCCACAAACCAACGTAGCAATCGTACTACGGATGTGTGAGTGTGCTCTACCACTGTCTCTACTACTGTTTCTACCCTCGGTTCTAACCCTCTATCTCTTGATCTATCACTTTTTTACCATCAACAGTAGTTAACTTCGTAGGTTGCTTTCCGTTTCTTATTTTGTCGTTCTCCTTTCTCTGATGGAGCGTCCTGTGTGCCACTATTGTCGACGTCCTGGTCATTTCCTCCGAGACTGCCCGAACCCGTATGAGAGATATGGACCAACAGGCCAGGCAAGTCGGCGGTAATCAAGCCTCCACCTCTGGGTCAGCCCCGATATCGACGCAGGGAGCTATCGTCCCGTACCAAGCACCTTCCAACGATGTGAGAAATAATCAAGCCTCGAGCAGTGGCGGTGGTTACAGCGGAAGTTATGGAGTAGGCTATGGGGGCTATGGGAACTACCGGCGGCCTTGGTATTCGCAGTCGAATGTAAGAACGAGAAAGTGGACAAGATGTGGAGCTGGATGGCTGAGGAGATTGAAGAGCGGCAGCGATTGAAAAAGGAGAAAGAGGAGGCCAAGAAGAAGGAGGAGGATGAGAAGATAAAGAAAGAGGCAGAAGTGAAGCAACCGGCGGAGGCCAAGGACAAGGACGATTTCAAGGCAAGTATAGGAAGGATGGTACAGGAGCAGATGTGTACCGTGTGTGAGGAAGTATTAGGAAGGAAGGTGAGACAAGATGAGCGACCTTTCGTTGCCGTGACTACCGAAATCCGAAGACGTGCGGACGCTGACAGTCAAAAGGCTGTGGAAGATGAGGTTCTACGAAAGAAGGATCTGGAGATTGGCCGACTGAAGCAGATGGTGGCGGAAACGCAAAGACAAGTATGTCAACCACAGTCCGGTCAACATGAGCAAGAGCTGAATTCCCTGCGTATGGACAACCAGCATTTGATAAAAGACGTTATCAGTCTGAAGGAGCAGGTGGGAGAACTTCTCAAATTGACGAAGCCGGTTGCGGGGGTGGCTAATGCTACACCGACAGTAGCCAAGGAGAAGGGGAAAGCGATTTACACTCCGACCGCTGGAGACTATGTCAAGTTGTCTGAGGCGTACAGGAGGATGCGAGACGAGAAGGATTTAGCCGAGAGAGAAGTTCATGCACTAAAAGAAAGGATTAATAGGATTGGGGCTGCTACGAGTACCCCGACGAGCATCAAAAGGAAGAGAGTGATGCGTAAGAGTGTTTCGCCGCCCTCCAATCTGCGGATCAGACTGAGCAAAGCATCTAGTCCTGCTAAGCACAAGGGTAGTGGAGAGAAGGGATGTACCGGCGTGAAATTTATCAAGCTGAAAGACGAAACGCGAGAGGATTTCAATAAACGAGTATGCGTCGAGCTGTCCAAATTAAAGAAGAAGGAGATCGAAACGTTATGTAAAGAAGAACATTTGGAGTATGTCACCATCAAGACTTCCGCTGCTGATATTGCTGACGCTTACACCGATCGTGCATTTGGGAAGTTGGCCGATAATACCGAGACACATGAAGATTCGAAGATGTCGGAAGATGTGGCCAGTAGCAGTGGACGTGACGGCGATGAAGAGGAGACTACGTCCGGCTGCTAGGAACTGCCACGGAGCGTCGGTGAACTCAAGGATCTGGCTCTAGCATGTAGAGACTTACGAGGAAATCGAAGATTGCAGCGAGATAGCAAGATCGATGGTGTATTTCGGCTTACGGTCATCTTTCTCATTCTGCTTCAACAAATTTCATGGTGTATGAAGCTCATTCTGTACTTGCGTTATTTATTCTCAGTCGGGTCTGACTTTATTTCATGTCCTGGTCCTCTGATCTACGTTTTAGTTTCCCCATGGTGCAAGCATATTTATGTTGGTTGTTCCTCTAGATCTTTGAAGTGTCGTTGGAACGAACATCTATGTCGTGTCTATTCTACACTATGCGATAATGTGAGGAATCACCGCTTGTACAGATGGTTACGACGAGAACGGACTAGTGGTTATGTTGCGGTTCCTATTGCCAGTACCTGCTTAGATCAGCTGCTTAACATCGAGTCATACTTCATTCGTACCTTCAATCCGTTTCTTAACTCTATTCCGACTCAGGGACGAAGACGTGAGACGAGGAAAAAGAGGCCAGGTAAACACGAGAGGGAACGATGGAGGTTAAAAAACGAGGCAAAAGTGATTCACGATAGCGATGTAGTGAAATCTTTCGTTCTTTTCTGCTTTGAGACAGGGGATTCATCCACTAGTCTTCGGCTTATTCTTGATAAATGTTTTGAACGCAATATCGGGAAAGTGACGATCAAGTGTTCTGGTGGGGATATTTTGACCGAGAAATGGAAAGTTTTGAAACGGTGTTATGGGTCCTCCGTAGTACGGATTGGGGATAGGGTCGAGCTACTTCGACATTGTAGGCACTCATTGGTGTCAGGGATTGTTTTGGTCTTTGAGTCTATTTCAAAATTTTGCTCACGATTCGAAAGACAAAAAAGCAGTTTGACTGAACTTCTGAGTAGTCCTTCTGCATGCAGGAAGTTATACCGAGAGCCGCTTGATAGGCTTGTACAACTCTATAGTTGCGTTCGATGTTTTTAGAGGAAAGAGAGTCGAGCAAAACTCAGAGCGATTTTAGCTCGAGTAATTAAGAGCAAGTTTTCCATTACCATTAGGGTTAGAGCTGTTGTTAGGATTCCATTTGATGCCACCTTGTCTAAGAAACGGATTCGCGATTTATGTCTTTCGACTGTTCGTTCGTCGTCAATCCGCACCCCGGTGAAACAGATTGTTTGCAGGAAGTTAAGGGTTGTCTGGTGCAAGAACAAAACCGTTGGCGACTGACTTTATAATTTCAGAAGTTTCTCACGACAGAAAGGCTTTGTATGTTGTTGTCAACATCTCGATTTACCTAGAACTGAAGGTCATGTGGCGTTTAGATTCAGTGATGTTGAGTGGGTCTCAGGCTTTGCAAAAAACAGTAAAAATATTATGTTTCCTGGTTTTCGAAACAATCGTGTCTCTCTCAAGAAATGCATTTTGGATGGATTGAAGGATGTGCAAAAGGACACAAAGGTTTTTCCCATTTCTGATGAGGAGTTATGCAAGTGCTTTAATCATCGTCAAGGACAATGTTCCCAAACGGGGGATGAACTGCAGCACGTCCAAGAAATTAAAAAGAAGCTGGAAGGTCTTGTTATGTGCCCGATTGACCATAACTTGGGAGATTCCTTTGTATGCTGCCCAACTATCTTCAAGCAGGGTATGGAAACATTGTTCATCAAGAATAAAGGATTTGCACTGATCGAATCAAGCGAGTCACAGGTAATCGAAGGTATGCACAAGAACTTATTAACATCCGGACTCCAGCGCTATTGTTCGTTTAATCGGCAGGGGAAGCTGGGTAGAACGTATGGATTGCCCAAGCATAAGAATGTAATGAAGTGGCTTCCAATCTGCCCTTCCTTCTCTGACCCTTTAGTAAGACTGTGTAGAATAGTTTCAAAATCCATCAATCATCTGTTGTGGACGCTACCTGAGGAGTCACATTTCAATTTAAAAAGCCCTTGTGATATGATTGGAAGGCTTGACAGGTTCAATAGGTCTATTAGATATGATGAAGAAGTAATTGCCTCGAGTTTTGACGTCAAAGAAATGTTCACTGCCCTGCCTCATGCATCCATCATCAGAGCAGTAGAATGGTTAGTTAGCGTTTTTGAGGAAAATGGATATTCTGATATATTTGTTAAAAAGAGAGGCAAAGGAGCAATGTTAGGCAGACGAAAAGAGACCCCGGCAGGTTTTCGTCGTATCAGATTTTCGGTACTTCTAGATATGGTGGTCTTCGATCTCAAGAATACTTACCTGATGGCCATGGAGGTCTTGTTGCAGCAAAATGTAGGGATACCTATGGGTAAACCGTCAAGTCCGAGTCTAGCCTGTCTCCTATGTGCATATAATGAGCACGAGTTCATGGTACACCTTGGTCGAGAACGCAAATTGCTTTTCGTGATTAGATTAGGAGACGATGTGTCCGTTTTTTCTAAATATCTGAAGGGGTCACTATATGGTAAGATGATGGCTATTAGGAGATTAGATAAGTTTAAAGAATGCTATGATAGGAATTTGGTACTTGAAATTACTAGTCAGTAGAACACATGGGATTTTCTTGGCTGCATTATTAAGGTTTTCTCTGATCCTTGTAGAGTTCTTTGTGCTGCTACTCACAAGAATGAGCGCTATGTCATCAACCAAAGTGTCGTCTTCCAGAATTTACAGGATTTCTTGTCGTATTCCGACAAACAACAAAAGATGGTTGTTATTACTGCCTGCCTTCATAGAGCAAAGGCACTTACCACTATGCCTGGCGCAGATGCATGTTTCCTTTTTACCCTGAAGATGGAACTACAGATCAGAGGATTTCCGGATTGCTACTTTGACCAGTGTTTGAAGAATTTTTCTGCAAGTATGAATAACTGTTGGCAGGCTTGGGTCGTATGTTTTACGAATTGGAAGTAGTTTTTGGTTTAGATGAGGGCATTAATAGCTAGTTAAAATGCAACGGGCACTTGTACTGGCAGGTCGTCGAACCGGTAACCTTATTTTCTTGACAAAGTAGGGGCTGTCATTTTTTGAAGGACTCGAACTCTGAATTGTTTAGCAGGTTTAGAGCTTTCTAGATGGCATCCGATTTTCGGTATCAACTAGCGCAGATTAGTCTAGGTTCAGGATTAGGCCTTTTAGATGGTACTTACCGATGTTTTTGGCGGTACTTGTTCTTCCCGGTTGACTTCGTATAAGTAGCTTAGTTGCGCTAGTATTTTTCATCCTACGCGAGGTAGTTAGACCCTTGATGAAGCCGGACAGGCGACCGGTAGAAACACGGTGTTGGGTCATTCACCTGACATCGCTGTGCTCAATGTTTTATTTTTCGAATTTACCTGCGCTTGGTTTTTTCTTCGTCTTCGTCTTGAGTGGTATGCCCCGTGCATGCTGCTTCTCTGTGTGTTTAAACACGTACGTTTGGATGCATGACTGATGTTCACAACGAGTTTATAGTAGCTTCAGTCTTGGCCAAAGTGTCTGCACCCAGGCCCATTCAGACAGTGGCCTGGGACCGAATTGATTAGGCATGCCCAACCACCCAGGCTCAAACGTGGGATGCTCCCTGCTTCGACCACATTGCTGGAAGGGCCTGGAAGGCTCACGAATATTTCAAACTCTCACAAGCAAGGCGGATGGATGTAGCCAGCTGGCACGTGGCAACTGGCTGGCGCCGACCAAGATTTGCAAAAATTGTCAAGTTCAGGGCGCATTGAGATTCAGGGGGCCGAAGAGTCACGCTAGCTCGGTAAGCACTACACCAACGCTACCACCGGCACCGTGGAGCTACCGCCGCAAACCGCGCGCCCACGCGAAGAACTCTACCACGCGCCCTCACACCATTGCCGCGGAGAAAAAGGACTTTAACGAAAACGGAGAATCCCCACGCCATCACGCGACATAGCTAAACCACAGCTGGAACGGGGAAAGGGACGGAACACCCTAACCCATCGAAGGGGGGGCCACACCGTGGAGGGGAAACCCAAGCCACACCCCAGGGCGAGGCACAGGGCAAGGCACAGGGCAAGGCACAGTGGCAACAAGGAGGGGGATAAAGAAGGGAGGAAAGAGGGGGGGAACCAAGAGAGGAATCCCCACCGAGGCGGGAGCGAGGGTTAGCAGGAAAGAAGTCGTGGAAGCGGCCAAGAGTAAGAAACAAAGGAGGGGCGAAAGGGGAAAGGGGACAACGCGGCTACACTTGCCACCAACGGAAAGAAACAAGTGAGAAAGAGGGAGAGGGGGACGAAAGGGGGAATTCTCGGGAAACAGGGAAGAGGACTGGTGGTCGAAACACTCGATGGAAAGCGGAGCAATCGAGTAGAGCGCCAAGAATATTAAAGACAGGGATGAACAAGACACAGCGAGAAAGAGAGGTAAGATCCCTCCAACTCTCAAACACCAGCGAGCAGAAGTGAGGAAAACGGGAGGACCGACCCTGCGAGCGGCAAGGAAAAGGAGAAGGCGGAGGAGACAACATTAATAGGGAAGCGTCCGCTCGTACCAAAAGGAGGAAAAGACATTTCAACGATAGGAGGTTACATATTTTGCCAATTTCGCCATCCCCTCAAGAGGGATACAGGCAGCACAAGTAGGTAATAAACTTGAGCCCACAAAAAGGTTTGGGCACACTCGAACAGCCAGGAGAAGGAGATCACTACGAAGACGACAAAGACAGACTAGGCATCGTATCAACCAGGGCACACCAACGCCGAGGCTGACGGACGGATTGCGACCTAGCACCAACACCGACGGAATTCCGCGCGACAAGCTCACAACTCCGCATCCAGCCACCACCACTCGAACGCGGCCCTCCGAACCAAACCCCACACACACCACCCTACACCAGCGTACTCAATCGTCTACCCCCCCCCCCCCCCCCCCCAAACAATGCCCACAAAAGGCACCCCCCCCCCCCCCCACCCTCCACTCTCGCAGTTTCCTCGCAAAAGGTAAAAGATCCTAAACCTCACCCAGCGAACACACGCATCAGCATACCACACGACACATGCTGCACATCCCCAACCTACCCTCCGTCTCCCCCCTTACATACACAACAGAGCGGAAAAACTTAAGTGGCTATGGGAAAAACTAAAGGGCATGGAACCGATCCCGGGAACAAATCCAAAAGTGACGTTTCACAATAGGGGGAGAAACACAATCAT